GATGATGATGATGTGTGTTCAGGGCTGCATTGCAATATTGATTGTTCGGATCATTCGTATCTAAGTCTTCCGCTGTGTTATCTTGTACTTTGTATGAGAGGTCGGTTCTTGTTCTGGTCTGCACGTTACAGTATGCAACATTGAGCCTCTATGACCCAAGAAAGTCAACCAGGCCCCAAGAAAGTCAACATTCAAGCGCAATGGGCTCCACCAGTCCAAGAGTGAAGAAATCTGCAATCAGACTCGCTTTCTTTTCCACTTCACATACATGCAAACAGATGGTGATTCACAGTGGCACAGTGCGCCCACTCAAAGTTCAGAGATATGGAAAACGAGAACACAGTTCAGATGCGAAATCGCTTCAATAAGCTATGGCGCATCGGCGCCTGCACACTAACTCTCGTCACTGTGTCCAACACCACCGTTCACACCAACTCAACTCTGGATCACCCTGAATAGTAGTAAATACTCCACACACACACACACTAAAACCTATCTTCGACCTACAGCGGCTATGGCCACGCTACTGCCACTGACTTTGGCTACGTTATCTTCCTTCAGCCCACTTCGACTTTGGGCGACCTGCAGACCACCTCGCACAAGATGCTGTAGCAGTGCTTCCGCATGGCTTACGCAGCGAATGAATGAATTGCTGGGCGCTGCTTCTTGATTTATACTTCTGTTTGCCGCTGGTCTGCCCCTTTCCACCAGGCCCTTGGTGTGCACAGTCCCACACGGTACTTGCTTGACCGGACTGAGTGTGACTGGGACTGGTACCACTGACTGCATGAGGTTGCACTGCCGACTCAACGCAGTTGGACTTGCGACTCTTCTACAGACCTCTAGCTTAGCAGTTTCGACCTCTATGACCCCTACTCGACAGACCTACGGATCGAACCCGTACAACTACACAGACCTACGACAGACAACAACCAACTACCAAAACACAGGTCACGGGTTCAAACACTCGGGGGTCAACTCGATACTGTACATGGGTAAGGTAAGGTCTGTGGATCGAACTCCAGGACCCGCATCTGTGACTGCAAAAGGTGAAAAACGTTTCAAAACACTAGAATTCACAGCTATAGATCATACTCAAATCCATAGGCTCATTTTTTTTTTTCAGAAGTGTCTAAGGCTTACCAGGTCCAGGCAGCCTCACACCAGGGCTGAATCCCAGCCACCTAGAGAGGAGAATACCAGCCCCCTACGTGTACCAGACGCAGAGGCAGGTCAGGCCAATCAACATTCTACATATTCGTGCTGGCCCGAGTCTTGGTCATTCGATCTGCCTTGTGCTTTGTGGAATCACACACACACACACACACACACACACACACACACACACACACACACACACACACACACACA